CTCAATAAAGTATTTAGTCAAAGGTACAAGGCTTCAGATGTTATTATTGGTGTGTTGACTTTCTTCAATTCAATGTCTTTTCCTCTCTCTTCTCTTTATTAGTTTGATATCACACATGCAGAAATAAACAACTGATTTCATACATAATATCTTATCATATGTAAATATCATATGTTAATATAGTATGTCAATAACATACATTAATCTTATATATTAATTTTATACATTAATATCACATGTTATTTCAGACATGAATATCATATGTTAATGTCATATGTCATTTCAGACATTAATATCACATGTTAATGTCATATGTCATTTCATACATTAATATCATATGTTAATGTCATATGTCATTTCATACATTAATATCACATCTTAATGTCATATGTCATTTCATACATTAATATCATATGTTAATGGCGTATGTCATTTCATACATTAATATCATATATTAATATCATACATTAATATAATGTTAATATCATATGTTAATATCAAACATTAATATATGTTAGTGTCATATGTTTATATCATACGTTAATCTCATATTTTAATATAATGTGTATAGCATATGTTGATATCTTGTCAATAATTTATGTTAATATAATGTTAATATAATGTTAATATCATATATTACCATACTACATTAATATTATATCTTAATATCACAATTCTTTCTGTAAACTGATGCTTATATGCTAACGGATTTTTCTCAACTAGTTCACTTCACACACACTTATCCTAGTGATTCTTTCTCTTTTCAAGAAAGTCTGCAAAATTGTCTTTTGGGATCCCTGTCAGCTGCTTCCTCAAACTCTCTTTCATCTTTTCCAAGATTTATTAGTAATGATTTTTAGATTTAAGAAAATCTAGTGGTTTCAGAAAACCAAATCTGAACTTTAAGGAAACTAACAGGTTTGGATAATTAGTCACTCCCCTCTCCCCAGCAAAAAAAAAAAAATTCTGTAAGAGATTTGAAGGATCTATTTGCTCAGTCATTTTGAATGAAACTGTTTCACAGTATACAAGCTCACTCATTGGTGTTTCACTATCAACTGAGTAATCACACAGGAGAATCTCTATTCATGCATGCACAATAAGGTCTTCATTGACTGGATACCAAATTACATCTGGTTCACGAGTTACTCAAAATGGTTGGATACATTACAGAAAGACTTTATAATAATCATAACAAAGTTGTTAAATACTTTTCTTCAAAATGTAAATGCTCTCATTTTCAGATTTATAAAACTATAATCATGAATATTATCATCATTCAATCATTAGTCACTATTTGTCTGTGTCAGATTGTAAATCAATGTGACTTATTTCCTTCCATTTATTAAAATCTTGAGAAAACTTCCTTATTTTGTGCCATTCATCAGTTTCGAACCATAGAATTGTTACCCCATCTTTCTCTGTTTTGGTTTTCCATTGTTTCTTTTTCTAGTCACCATAAACCACTCAAGACATAATTTAGTGAGCTCTGCACTTTGAACCTTTAATGTTTACTAAATAGTTTCAAAGATTTCCTATGGATGGTATTGAAGAGTGAAGACAAATTGGTTATATTTCTAAGAAAGCTTATTTTCACTTTATCTCTCAGTTTTTCATCTCTAAGAATTCACATCATATGATTTTGGAAGGTTTCCATTTGAGCTGAAGAAAGTTTTCAAGTTCATATAAAACAATTTAAGCTAAATAAAACAAATGAAAGAACATATTTAAAGTGTATTTTTATTTCAATATCAATGGAGATTCTTGCTGATTTCAGCTTATCCAAGGATCCTTCAACGTTTTGTGACCAAGATATGCAAAATCGATATTATACACTTTGATTAATCTGCAAAATAAAAATCATTCGAATTCACAGTTTTGGTCAAATTATCCAAATTTTAATTCTGGTAGTGGTTTTCAAAAACTAATGTGCAGTTTGTATTTTTTACTGTACAGCAGAAATGTATATTTTTGTTTAAATGACATAAAATTAGTAACTTTCTTCTTTGGGAATTGTCTTTTATCTCAGTAGTGTTAATTTAGTTTAAATTATGCAACAAAGAAACAATGTCTTTTTTGAAACAGTTTTATTATTTTCAATATATTTTCTTTAATATAGTTTTACAAAAGAAAACATTAAAATGACACGAATCTTGATAATATGCGATTACAGACTCTCAGTTACAAAATGCAAACAAACGATTTTGTTGTTGCGAAGAACAAAGAAAAAATGAATAAAACTGAAATGATGAAAAATTGAAAAGAAAGAAATTGTTATCTTTTTATTTAAATGAAACAATTTGACATTTAAAGAAGAAGCAAACATCAACTAAAAAATTTGTCAAAAAAAGTAACAAATAAGTCTCAGTAATTAAGTTGATTGTTGATAGTATCAAGAATAATTTATTTTAAAGTTCCAAAAATCATATAACTAAAATAGATTTCATCTTCTAAATACTCTAATATTGACTCTAGTCATTAAATGTGTTGGCCAATGGTTTCTAGACTTTGTAATTCAACAAAATAGAAAAAGTGATTTTAAGTAAAAAAAAATTACAAAAGTCTTGTGCTTTTAATTATTCACATGTTTTTATTAAAAATTTCAGTTATTTTTAATTAAACATGAATCTTATGTTAAGATTAGATAATATTATGAAATTAAAAGTAAATGTGTAAATTTTAATATAAAGATTAGCTAAATAATTTTTCAAATTTATATATATATATATCTAGAAGAATTTTTTGAAACAATTTTACAGGATTTTCAATTCTCTCAAATAAATGGAGCCAACTTTAGATTAGGCAATATGAATATGACTTTTAATGTTTGATTTCTATCTATAAATTGCTATTCAAATGTTTGAGACATTTTGCTTTTATAAAAAGTATTTAAAGAATTGCAGCTAATAATTTTCATTGGTTAACATATGTCTGTCTGTTTGTCCATGTGTACAATTAAGAAGACAAAATGGAAACACAGAATAGTGTGTCATGTTTTCAGCATGGAAAGTGGAATTAATGAACCAAGTTTGAATTCTAACTTAGGCTACTGATGTGCCTTGAAAAAGTCATAAACCTAGTTCTCCCTGTACTCTGTCTTCTCACTGTATATGCTGAGAAAATCTCTCATCACTAGCATGACACAACAATTTATAGAGGAGAAGGAGGAATGGATGAGTGAATGAGAGCCAGGTGTTTGAGCAAATCATTCTCTCATAATTCTTTTAACTTACCAGGTAGTAGCAGCAACAAAAGCTGCTGTCACCTGTAGAGTCAATATTGTCAGGAACAAATAATAAGATTCAAAAGGAGGTAAGTCTTTTTCATTAAATACTAATAATTTAGCTTAGTATGACACAAGGTTTGGATCACTCAATCCTAGATGACTATTCTGTTCTCCATAGTAAGGTGTCTATATTTCCAGTCTACAAAGGTGATACAAAGGAAAAATAGTATAATCATTATTACCATATTTTCTGGCTTACAAGATGCAATTTTTTTCCTAAAAAATACTCTGAAAAATTTGTGAGCATCTTCCAAGATGAATGTAAGGCAATGCCCAGGCTGAAGTAAGCTTGAACAGTCACCTAATTGGCTTGACTGATAGGGATGTGGATTTGTATGTTGAGTCATTATACTATAATGTTAGCTATCTATCTAATTCAACCTTTTATATGATGTAACCTCAGTACTTAGTGATTACAAGTATTTCCAAGACTATAAACCTTCCTGGAGCCGAGCCATAAGCTGAAACATGCTCTGTTTACTAGCAACAGCAGGAGCCTTTCTGCTCTTGACTTGTATGTCATTGCCATACAAACAAAAATCAGACGAGTGATTAAAATAAACAATACGTATCACCAGTATGTGAGGGACATATGGTGAATGTGTTGTTGTAGAAGAATGACTTTTTTTTCTAAGAAATTTCTTTCCAATATTAGGGTGCATCTTCAAAGCTGCAGCTTCTTGTAAACCAAAAAATATGGTATTTGACACCTGTAAACTTATTATTAACTGGATAATGATGTAAATTTTATCATAACATTTATGAAGTGAAGATTTTGGATTGAATAAGTGTTGCTACAATTAATTCTTTTGAATCAGTTTTCCTCATCTTTGTTGTCTTTATACCATTTTCAGCTGCTACACTCTTTGATGTTCTTTTTGTTTGAATTTCAAATCAAATCTTTTGTTAATAATAACCATGTCAGATTTCTTGTTATTGTTTTCTTTACTTCATTGTTTCTCTACTTTGAGACCAAAGAGCTGTTCACTCAAAATAGCAGGTGTAGAAAGCTTTAATCTATGGAGAAACTTTGAAATCAGGAAAGGAAGATCATGTATAACCTTGTGGATAAAAGTGATAATAAAAATTTCATGTAATTCCCAGAAAGTTGAGCTCAATCCTAGGGTCAAGTAGTGCTGAAATATACACAAGTTCAATAGTTAGGGTAGTTAGAATCATAAAGAAAAATTGACAGTCAGATGTTTGGAAATTCTCTGGGAGGTGTGACAAGTGCATGATCAGTGAATCAGGGAAAGGGATTCTGTCCCATGTCCTCAGATGGTTACTGATTATGATGAATAAATGAGAAAGAATGAAGAGCAAAGAGATTGAAACTTTCTCATAAAAGACAATAGAAAGAGAAAATTTATTCTTCTCTGGTCATATTTGAATAAGTTTATTTGAATTATCTTTTTATTTACAATAAAATGTAAGATTTTTTTTCCCCTAAATAATCTTCATTTATGAAAATTATCAAATATGATTTTTTGGGATTTGTTAAAATATATATAAATTGGTTTTAATTTCATTGATTATTGAATTGAATAAATTTAGATAAAAGTGATTCCAAAATCAGAAAAACGTTCATAAGCAAAATTTTAAAATAAAGACCTTGAAACTTTTTCTTAGCCAAAGGTTTCTGGATTTCCAAACAATATTGAAAAATGTTATTTTTTCTGTTTTTAGATCCTTTCAAGTGGAATATAAAATACTTCTAAGCTCTGTCCTTTTTACTTTCTTTTTTCTCTGTAAGTTTTTGGCTTCTCTCACGTTCAATTGAAAGACCAGATTGACTTTCTTCCTTTTGGGCATCATGTTCCCTTTTTTTCACCGTTTTTATTACTCGTAACTCAAGATCACTTCTTGTCAGTGGCTTCAGTTCTTCCTCTCCAACATCACTTTCATCCATTCCTTGGTACTCATCACTGAAACAATAATAAAGACAACATTGAAGACAAAACAATTGAATTCATTGTGAATGCTATGTAAAGTTGTCTTTGCTTATCGGAAGGACATATATTCCAAGGACCCACAATAAATCTCTGACACTTCATACAGTATCAAACTTGATATATTTTATGTATTTCCTATACATACATACATACAATATGATAATGTTTGATTTACAAATTTGAAATAAATTTTAAAAAAGATTTATAAATCTTACAGTAAAATAGAATAATTATAATATTTTGGTAATGGTAAAATTAACCTTTTTCCTTATAAGGAAATATTTATAGCTGTTATTACTTTTTCCCATATTAGTAGGGGTCTTCCTTCCTAGCCTTTTGTTTGAGGCAGTGTGGAATGTCAACATCTTGATTATGTCATTATTTTCTCTTCAAGTTTCATGTGCTTTTCATTTTAGTTGTTATTGCTGTTCTCAAGTGATGTAGTTTCTGTTATTTGATGCAGTTCTTTGTTTGTGGTTTCATAGGGTCAGTCTACAAAGTTTGTGATTCTATAGGGTCAGTCCACAAAGTTTGAAGAAAGATGGTCCTCATTTGACCTACATGCTTCACTCATTCAAAGCCATTTTTAACCATTAATTTTAGAGAGCGGTTATATACAACTGACAGTTTAGATATTTCTGGATGAGTCTGGATGCCATGTATGACATCCATATGAGAGTCTTGATCTGAAAAGGCTTTTTAAGAACATGATTAGAGTTTTAGGATAATTGTTTTAACTTTGTAGCAATTTGCAGTGGTGAGTGAAACTAAACCTTACACAGACTATGTCCAATTTCCTTATCTCCCTTATCTAATTTGTTATAACTGATCCAAACACCAAGTTATCTGAAGTGTTTAGTATTTACTAATTCCACATCCTGAATTTTTACGACTGTTTCAGGGTAGGTGCCATCATTGCTTTCCTTTCAATTCCAGATCATAGTTTCTGTTTTGGAAAGTTTTATCTTGAGTACTCCTAATTCTTGGAAAACCTGATAGAGGATGTTGATTTTTTGGTTAAGATCATTCTTATCCTAACTATGAATGTCTATATTATTGGCATAAGAGATATACTTGTTCTTATTGTAGATCTTAAGAACCTTAGCATATGCTTCTTCCTTTCTCTTTTCTTATTAAAAAAAGGATTTTATGACTTCTCTTTGACTTGTCCAAATTTCTTGCATCATTTGTAGAAAATGAAACGACAGATAATTTTAAAAATAGCAAGACCATGTAGCTCCTTATATGAACCCTGTTTTCTGTGTTTACATGAAAAATTGGAAATCATCAGGTTTTTTGATAAGAATTCTTTATTAAATCAAAGACCCAAATTAATGGTAAACTGTAAACACAGTCTATCTTTTAACTTATAATTCAGTTAAACTTTGGAATTTGACAATATTTATTCTTAGATTTTAGTTGAACTGTTTTGCATCATATATGACTTATCTTTCTCTTTGTATGATTAATTTGGTTTTAATTTAAATCTGTATTGATCTCCTGATAGTATTATAAACATCTTATATGGATATATTGGTATTTAATAAGTATTTTTCATATTTTACATTGATTGGTTGATATTATTAATATCATATGTATGATATTTATTTATTTATTTAATAGTTGCATATTATTTACCAAATAATTCTATATGTTTAGATTATTTACTAATTTCTTAAAGAGGCCACTTATCTATCAATTACACAAAATTTTTATGTAGGAAATCCACAAAGCTTATAACTACTTGGGCATTTGGTTAAATTATCTCTCTACTGCCCCCCCCCCGTCTGCTTTTATGTCTTATGACTGTTGACTGTCTGGCATATGTACATTTATTGCAACCATTTATATCAGTCTTTAAGTTAATGTTCAACTGCCATTAGATGTGAAATCTAATGACACATTGGCTATGACACATTTCAAAGATAATAATTTTTAATTTCCTTTTCTTTTTCACTTAGTTTGAATTTAACAAAGGTCATATTCAATTAGTTGATCAGGGTAAATCCCTCAAGTATTATATTTTTTCCTTTTTTTTCCAAAAATGGGGATATATTTTGTTTTTGAAACCAAATTATGCTTTCACTCACTAGTCATTTACAATCACCTGAGGAAACGCATTGTTTTGCACTGAAACACAATTGCAATTGTGTAGCGATTCTTACAAGTTTTTTGTAATATCCTAAAATATATACATACATATATATACATGCATACATATATATAATTATATTGTATAATTAAATATATATATATATATATATATATATATATATATATATATATATATATATATATATATATATAATTTATATATATAATATATATAATTTATATATAATTTATATATATTATATTATATAATTTATATATATTGTATTATTGAAATGTAAGATTCTTTACTTTGAAAACCTTGCTTCTTGGTAAGTGCCAGTACCAAAATGTCTGGGTGAACTTGTTGCCAGCTTTTCACCTATTTTCATTGTAAGTTTAAATATAAGACAATGACACAAAAAAAGAGTGACTACACAATCAAGATAGCTGACCATAATTGACAGCCTTTTGCTTAATGAGTAGAACTTTGTGAGAAGAGGGAGAATAGGTATAAATATTCATGGGACATTTTTAATTACCCCCTGCAATACTTATATAGTATGATGTATTTCAGTTATGGAACACACTGTAAGCGCAGTCAAAGAAATATAAATCTGATTTGAAACAAATATTACTTATAGCATAAAATGTTGTATACAGGCATTTCTTTTTTATCTGACATTTTTATTTTTATTTATCTGACATATTTATTTTGATTGATTTATTGACAGCCTAATGTGTTGACAAGTTAGGTATAGTAACATACAATTGCAAGCAAGCAATTAATTTAATATGAGGGGTGTTTTTCTGTAAGGGAGGAAAACACTTAAATCACATGACCTTTGTCTGATTTATAAAAAAGTTCTGATGATTTAAATTCGTCATAGTATTCTGCTTTTACCTAATAGTCACTAAGAATTATCGCACTGAATTCCTCAAGTTTTGATAAAATTAAGTAAAACAATATTTTTACCAAGATTTTTCTAATTCATTTGTGAATAAGGCCTGAAAATTTCATTAAAATCTAACCATTATTTGATTTTTTGCAAGAATTTCCAAATTAATGTGTCTTTCACTGCAAAAAAGGTTAAAATTTGCTATGCTAAAAGTTAGTACATCCGCTAACACAAGAAAAACATGTTTTTTAATCAAAATTTTGAATGTTCTAAAAAGAAGGAAAAAGTTTCGTTATTTATTGAAAAAGTATTTTGATTCTTTCTCTTAATAATATATGAAATAATATTATGAAATAATCTTTTAAATATGCTTGAAACATGTTTTCATCAAGGTATACTGATTTTTTAGTGATTCTATAGAGGTACCTACTTTAAGGTGTTGTTTTTTTATATTTAGTTTCTAATTCATTATTTAGCTTCATCATTAATATTCATTAATATTCATTAATATTCATCATTAATATTTGTTCTTTTCAAAGTGAACAGGAAAGAAGCTGCTTAAGATTTCTCTGACAAAAATAAAATTAATACTTACCCTATGGAGGGAGGGAAAATGGAAATCTGGCTGTGGGAAGATTTGGGAACAATTGTAGAATAAACCTGTCCTCTGGGGTCAAAATTCATCTGATCCTAAATAAAATGAATAAACATATTAATGTCATCAAAGTGACTGATTAATTCTTCAACCAATTGATCAGTGCCAATAAAACAAACCAAAAATAAAATAAAATTCATTTTTCTCACCATTTTGCCATTTGGCTTCTATTCATTTATAATCTTTTTTTTTTTTTTTACTTTCATTTGCCTTCAGTCACATTTTAAAGTAAATTTTAATAATTAAACAGAGTCTTGCAGTTCAAGAAAAAAAATCTTTTAATCACGTGATTTGTAAAGAGATAAAGGTGCATAAATTCTGCATGTGAAACAAAGACAAAATCCTTTTAAAAGAAAATGACTGGTATTTACATGTAAATTCAGTCCTTGACTTTTTTGTTATTATCACATGTTGACTTATGGCCAGATCAAATTGAAATACTGGTTCTTGAATGATCACCAAAGTTAAGCAAACTTGATCCTGGTCAGTACCTAAATGGGTAACCCTTCTGGCTATTGTGCAGAACAGGTCACAGTTATGATTGCTTTTTTTGGTTTTGCCTAGCATGCATTTAGTTCTTCAAGGATCTCATCTTTTTCATATTTGGTGTCCCTAATCTTTACTAGCAGATTCCTTTTTTTAGTAGTTGGCAACCAACTGGTGTTGTTCTTATGCATAGCAATGCTATGTCTATATATGATGCTCTCTCTTTGACTTTCTTCATTGTGTTTTTTTACAGATTATATATTTCTTTCAGTAAGTCCATTAGACTAGGCATATTTTGGTGAGGAGGTAAAACTGTAGCTGTCAAATTGAGGGCCATTGATGCTAATCATACATCCTGGTATCCCATGTTCCCCATATATGGACTTTAGAGAATTTATGACATCGTGACTTGTGCATGTATTGTACATATTGCGGATAAATGGGAATTTGGAGTAGTAATCAACTAACAATGTTTTTCCTGCTAACTTAAAAAAGGACTGTTTCAATTACTTGCCATGGTTGGAATAGGACCACAAGGTGTATTGTCATTTCTTTTTTTGTTTATGTTTTGGTATTTTTGGCACATAGAACATTTTCTGACATTTTTTTCAGTGTTGTCATTGATTCCTGGCATATTGATGCATATTTTAGCTCTTAGGTTTCACATTTCAATGCCTTAGTGTATTGTTGTTATATTCCGTGCTAATAGAAATATGGAATGGACAAACATGGTGGATAAATAGTAACAGGTTTATTGTAGAAACCAGTACACCAAGCAAGGAAGTAATAATTATGCCCACGGTCATCTCAAGTTAGTACAGTTGTGTGTGTGCTGCTATAGGAAGGCCATTAGTCTCGCAGATCCCGTCTGCTGTCCTAACTGATATTTATAGGTGGTTCCACCTATAGTGCTGCTACTCATGAGGGGTGGCAGGTTATTCCATCACATCAGTTGTTATGTGTATTTTATTTATGATCTCATTCCTCATATTGCTGGGATTAAGTATCCTGTCTCCTTTAAGAAACAGGAAATTCTCCACTGATAATTTGTCTCTGGATGACCAGTATGACTTTGTGTTTTTGCTATGTTTTTTGCTTTGTTTGACCATCCAACAAATATCTGTTCTCTAAGAGCTTTGTTGCTGGACTCTACTTTCACTTCTTCTAGTTTCTTTACACTGACATCTACTAACTGGATTCTTATATCTATGTTCATTGGGTTGCAGTTGTCTTTGTTTAGTAGCCTTGACAAATCATCTACTTTCTGTTGTGGTATGTGATCATAAGGTTCTATGCCAGTATCTCTATAAGCATTTACTGCAGTTGTGGAGGTACTGCTGGCAGGTTCATTTGGTTGATCATTTCTAAGGGCTTGTGATCATGAATGGTTTTCTATACAAATGTGTATGGAATCTCTTACATCCAAACACTACTGCTAGCATCTCACATTCAGTATTTGCATGATATGTCTTGGATGCAAAGGCAACTTGCTTGCCATCATGTATGAGTGCTGCTCCAAGCCCTCTGCTAGATGCATCAACTTGTACAGTTGTTGTTTTAGGTCAAAATATGCCAGGATTACCTCTTTGCTGATTATGGTCTTGATTTTTTGGAAAGAATTCTTCATGACTCATAGTCCATATATACATACTGTCATTTTTTAGGAGGTTATAAAGATTAGCTGTGTGCTCGCTCTCATAGTCGTGATATGAATGTGCCCATAATGTCACAATCCCCACTATATGTTGTAGCTCAGCTTCATTAATAAGAAGCTTGAGAGCTTTTATATCCTCTGCTTTTTGAGGACCTGGATGTATTCTATTTTCATCATATATTGCACCAATGAATTTTATGAATTTGGTCATGATGTTGCATTTAGTGTTGTTGAATACAAGACCATTTACTTTGGCAGCTTCCATCAGGTCAAGTAAGTTTTTGTCAAGTTCTTTTTTTATTTTTTCAAATACTAAATCATTAGCAGAGGTACCAATAGCTCCAGTGCATTTCTTTAGTATTTGGTTCATCTTTTACTGAAATACATCTTGACTCATCACCAATGCAAATGGCATCCTTACAAATCAGGTCCTTCCAAATGGTAACTGAAACATGTCAGAAGTTGAGTTTTTTCATCTAGCTCAATGGACCAGGAAGCATTCTTTGCATCCAGCTAGCTGAAATATTTTGTTCCCATTAGATTGTGGGTTATTTCTTTCAAGGTGGGTACTTGATGATGGCAAATTTTAATTGCTTTATTTAGAGTTTTCAGCTCAAGGCAGATCCTTAATTTTCTATTATTCTTTCAGCTATATGCCAGGCTGCCGACTTATTCAGTGGGGGTTCTTGCACATTTTTTGTGACCCTGTCTTTCACCTTATTGTCTAGTTTGTTTTTTATTCCCTCTTTTACATTGATTGGGCATTTTTGTTGGATGGGGTATGGCTGGTGTTACTGCTGAGTTAAAGATGATGTGGTATTTACCTGAGAAGTGTTCAATGCAGTCAAATTGCTTCTCTTAGGCTTTCAATGTCTCGTATTGGTCTGGTTGTTTCTCTTATCTCACAATGTAGTGCTAACATTTTCAGCTTTTGGTACTTGGTAGTCCTGATATAACTGGTTTGTTTGTGTCTGCAATAAAAAGTTTTTCCTCTGACCCTGAACCCTGATCATATCTACATTGGAGATGAATGGTACAGATTTGTGGAATGATAGTTTTATTATAAGATGTTAAGATGGTATTTAACTTCTTCACTAGTTTTTCTTGTGAATTTGGACACATCTGTCAATATATTCGGAATGGTAATATATTACCTTCTGCTCCAGTGTTTACTTTTATCAATAATTTTGCAAATTTCCTTTCTTTTTCTGGCACCTGTATGTTTATTTTGCAGTGACTTCAATTTGGTCATCTGCTTTGTTTATTGCATGTAGTTCCACTTCATTGGGGTCACTAGAATCAATGTCATTGTCTACAACATGTATATTTTGACTAAATTTATCTTGGTGATATTGTGGCTTGAATTTCTCCTGTGGTAGATTGCTGTAACTTGTTTTTTCATTTGTACCCTGCAGACACTGTTCCAGTGGTTTTGTTTTTCATATTTTTGGCATTCAGTAACATAGATTGGGCACACATCATACTTTCTGTGGATTTCTTACCATTTTGAGCAATACCCAGTTTTAAGGATACTTTGTATAAAATCTACTGCGGAATTTTGTTGTATATGTTCATGTGTACATTTTAATTGTTTAATTGTGGTTTAAATAGGCTCCATGAATTTTCAACAACTGCAAAACTTTCCCTGTGTCATTTGTTTGTCTTCAATGAATTATTGTGTCCATGCTTCTTGATAGATTATTTGAATAATATCTCATCAAGTTCACAGTTTACTTTGTGTTTTACTGTCTGAAATTCTCATTGTGCCTCTTGTTGGTGTAGTCTTGAGAGAAATTCATCTACTATTTTGGTTTCATTTTTATTGTTAGGATCAGTCTTTTGATTGATGTTTCTGAGTGAATCAAAATTTTGATTTGATTTCCTGTATTCCTCAAATTTTGACCATATGATGTGTCTGGCCACTTCTTTTTTTTCTATATGTGTATGGTAGCATGTAAGAACAAATGAATCAACAGCCCTGCCGGTGAGGGAAACAAAAAGATGACAAGAATCCTACATCCAAAATTCTTTTGTATTGCCAATACATTAGATGCAAGCTGGTTTATATCTAAATGTAGGTGAGGGAGATGGTTTTGTAGGATAGAGTTGGTAATGTTTGGAATTTATGCATTTGTTGAGTCAGTTGAACAAGGTCACAGTGTTGATATTGAGAGAGGCCTGGAGTAGATTAGTTAATTAGTGAAGTCACTATCTGACTTTGCTGATACAGAGGGTGTGAGCAGAATATCTTTGAGGGCATGGTGTGGGTGTTTGGATGAGCATAGTTCTTGATCAGATATGTGTGTTGAGTTGTTTGACCAAAATCGTGGTGGTGATATAGAGAAACTGCAGTGTTGATAGCTGACCGGTTGGACGTGTTCTGTCCCAATTGTTTATGCATAGTTTTCTTAAAAGCAATTCTGGTGGCTCCCAAATTTATATTTTTTCATGTTTTTTCTTTAGCAGCATTTGTGATTGACTTCTTTGATGTTGCATTTATATTTTTTTTCAGGGGATTTATTTTGTGGGCCAGATATGATGCCCTAGCCACTGCAGAATAGGACTTTATTATTTTTGTTTTTTCTTTCTTAGTGTCTACATCTGGTAGGGATATGCAGAGTGAATCAAAAAGAGATCAAATTTACAACAGAGTATAACATTCTCATCAAATGAATGATCCCAACTATTAAATTTTAGTAAAGTAGAGTTTCATCAACTTAGTCTTGTGGGTCCATTATTTTCCTTCATCAAAAATTATTTCATATTGATGTCAGAATAGGGATATGGCTTCAGTCCTGTTTGGGTTGTCCCAATCCATCCTCACATTGTCATATTTTTCTTGGGGTCACCATGTTTGTTTCTCTTTCACTTTCAATACTATACCCTTAAAATTCC